GGCGAGGACGGACTGGATAGGCAGGGCAGGCCTGGCCTGGCCTGGCCTGGCCTGGCGGCCTCGGCAGCCAAGTAATCCGGAGGCACGGCTGACTCGGCGCAGGGCAGCGGGGCGCCCCCTCAAGGAAAGAATGCTCGCGTTCCCTCGGCCTGTCCGCCGCTGCCGCCTGCCTCCTGCAGGAGGGGTAGTAAGACGGGCAACTCTACGCCGCGGGCCTCCCGCCCCGGGACTAGATTGCGCCGGCCGCGATGGGAGGCTACTACGCCTTCGTGAAAGATCTTTCGGCCAGCGGCCTTTCGCGAGGTCGGTTCTGAAGGCAGGCAGTTATCGAAACTGCTTCGTTTCGCAAATAACAGGCGCGTTTCTTAACGATACCCCTGTGGTTTTGTTCAGATCCGTTTCTTCGTCCTTGGATGGTTTGGCACTGCGGTGCTGAACTGGAAGAGGGTGGAGAAGATCCAAGGACTTTGCTGTGAGAAGCGCTCCTTTTGAGTGGGCACCTTTCTTGGCTGCTGCAGGTTCGCACCTTATTTGACTGCTGCAGGTTTTGCTGGCTTGGACTCGATGGGTTTGTTGAATAGTATGGTTGCACTGTGAGGCTCAATAAGTAGTGATCTAGTTTTGTTGGCTTTGATATTTACTGCATTTATTCACTATTCTTGTGCTAAGTGTACTCAAGATGATTTAGGTGTATAATTTAGGTATAAATAGTGCCAGATGTATGCAGGAACCAAGTATTCTTAATTGTTTTTTACTTGAGATATGTATTGCCAATAATAGACAGGTGACCTTGATTGATCTTGAAAAACCTCAGCTGGGTTAGACTTGGTCATGGTTTGGATGGGAGACCACCAGGAAACTCAAAGTGTGGGGCTAAACTGGGATGTAAAAAATCCCCAAAGGTGGTAATGACAAACCACTCATGGATTGTTGCCAGATCATTACAGGGATATGTGGAAGCCTTGAATTTTATCTATTGAGCTCCACTGGGAGATGAGTAGAAAATAGCCAGCTCTTGAGCTTTGGTCACAAACTGGCTTAAGCAAGTGACAACATTGGTTTTCACATGATTATAAGGATATTGCTGAATATCTGAATCAAACCCAAGGAACATTTTACTAGCTTTCCTGCCTTTGATTAGCCATTTGTGGCATAATCAGTATTTTGATGAAGTTAAGTACCTGTCAAATTGCAACTTAAATGTTCATGCTATTGCTGTACTTGAAAACAATTATTTGACTGAAGGGCACTAGAAATCTTAAGGTGATGGAAATATATACTATAAAATCCTAATAGACCAGGTTTAGTATGTGGCTTGAAATCAAAGACTACTCTGAAAGAAATAGCTTTTTTTTCAGACTGTTCAGCTCCTGAACCTGAACAGTTTAAAGGAGGTTAAAATGGTTTTGATGTCCTGGATTAAAAATAAAATACATAGAAAGTAGCATTCGATACCTATTTTAAATGTTCAAAGGAGGAGTTTCAGCCAGCTCTTTAAAATGAGTTACTCATCCAATTGAGAAATACTTATGCAGATTGTGTACATCAGCTGTAAAACACAGAAGATCTTCATTCCCTCTCCTGATTGAACCAGAACATACATATGTTGTGATCTTAATTAGCAGGGTACTTGAGTAATTTATTCTAAGGCTGTATAATAGTTTTCAATCCTGGAGATTATGAAGAATAGTAAAGCAAAGTTTCTCTGAATATATGACAGGGCCTTTTTAAAAAGAGCAACTAATGTCAGGTAAGAATATTGGTTTCATGCAGACTTGTGCCCTGGAACTACAGTATTTCTATCACTGCACTGAATGTTCATCAGCGAATTCAAGCTGGGCCTTGTATTCAGGCATACATTTTGCGTTCTTTCCTTATCTCTCTTTCTGTTTCTCTCTCTCACTCACTCACTCTCTGTATACACAGACACACACACATACATGAGAGGTAGAAATCTGATTTAAAATGTATATGTGTAATATTCCATGAATGACTGATCCACACAGAGTGATGGATTTGCAGTTGCACTTCAGTGTTCTGCTTTTTGTCATGGTAATGCATTTCTCCCAAGTGGCTTTCAGTGAGTTTTCACCATTGACTCTCTACATCTTTAATAATGCTACCCATATTTTAATGTATAATTTCCATTAGAGTCAAAGTTAACAGGTTCAGCATTATTCACTTACCCAGTTCCTATTTTTGCTATGCTGGAGGGCACCACCCACAGTTACTTCTGTTCATATCCCTTCTGTTTGGTGGAATGGCTTTTGTTGACACCCCCACCCCCCATTTTGTAAAGATATATTCTTAAGTGCAAGTGAAGAACTGTCACCTTTTGTCTTTTTCTATCCTTATTTATGTCATTAGAGACCAGAGGTAGGGAGGGATGATATAAATGGTGGTAGAACAGATTAAGGCAGAGGAATTTCATAATAACCAGTGATATAATGATTTAGTTACAGGGCCAGTTTGGTATAGTGGTTAAGGTGCTGGACTAGAAATTAGGCATCTGTGAGTTGCGGTCCTCCCTTAGGCATGAAAGCTGGCTGGGTGACTTTGGGCCAGTCATTGTTTCTTAGCCCAACTCACCTCACAGGGTTGTTGTAGGGAAAATTGGAGGCAGGAGCATTATGTATACTGCCTTCAGTTGTATAAAATAAAGGTGGGATATAAATATAATAAAGAAAGAAAGAAGGATATTCTAGAATCCCAAGTAACTCAGTGTAGGAAAAAATGCGTATATTTTATTTATTTATTATATTAGTTGGAAGAATGTGATTATTGTTTAAAACTAGAAAAACTCAAGTCTTGAGTAATATGAAAGGGCTTCAAGCTACAAGCTATATGTATAATTTTGTCTGTAGTAGGGTTCCAAATACATTTTGGTACCAAAAGGAAACATAAATTTAAAAAGGGTTTTGAACTTATATAGAATAATTTTCACCAGATGAAACCTGCACATAGTACTAGACAAAAGCCTTACTTTAAAAAATACTTTATTTGAAAGATTGTTTAATATTAGTTTTAATTTGTTTATTTCAAGATAATAGATTGTGCTAAGCCACAATATATTTTGGTCTGACTTTGTGTGTTGTATAAACCTGGTCACTGGTTTATATGGTTTATGGTATAGTATAATATGTGAATTCAGCCACTTGTTTGTCAGCAGTGATTGGTAGCTTTATGTAGGGAAAGACTAGAGTGAAATGTATCTTTCACACTTGTGAATATTTCCATGGTGTTAGTGGACTAGGAGAGCTAGCATGAGTTTGGCAGCTGAGTTCTAGGGGGACTAACCATTTTTCTCCACCAAGTCAGTACAGGTAGTCCTTGTTTAGCAACTGCCTTGGACAGTGACTGTTCGCAATTATGATGGTGATGAAAAAGTAACTGTGTGACCAGGGGCCCCATTTATGATCTTCACAGCATCTGTCTCTCAGTCATGCATTTGCCATTACAGGTAGTCCTCACTTAACAACCTCAATTGGGACTGGAATTTCCATTGCTAAGCGATGCGATTGTAAAGCAAGATGTCACGTGACCACTTTGCTTAGCGACCACAATCCCGGCACTCCTGGTTGCTGTCGTTGACTGAGAATTGCGGGTTGTTAAGTGGAGGAAGTCTCAGGTAAGGAGTGTGGGGGTGCTGCAGGGGAGTGGGGGAGGCCTGGTGCAGGCTACGCATGAGTTGGGGGTGTGTTGCAGTGGAGTGCAAAGCTGCAGCCATCCCTGGAAGCCTCAGTGGCCCCAGCTTGGCCCAGCAGTGCTTACAACTGCAGGGGCACTGCAACTCCCCGCACCTGCTTATCTCCCCCCATCCCTCCCCCTTTTGGCCAGCTGCCACTGCCCCCAGGCCTCTACTTCAGCTCAAGTGCCACTGTTGCCACTGAGAAATGCCGCCTCAGCCACCCCAACACCATTGTTCAAAAGCCCAGTTGCCCCCGCCACTCTGTGCTCCACAGGTTCTGCCACGCCCAGCTGACCTTTGCCATTTTCCTCCCACTGCTGACAAAGCACATTTGGCTTGACCCTACTGTATGCGAGGCAGCTGCTGGCCACACCAGACTTCTTCCCAAGGCTGTTCATGCTGTTCTCCAAGCCACTTGCACCAGTCCTTCTCCAAATCACTCACCCCATTCATGCAACCCTTCAGAAACCTTATGGTCTTCTCCAGTTCTTGCAAGTACGGGTATGCTATTTGGAGCAGGAATGAGGCACACAGTTTGGAGAATGAGGTCTTCCGAATCACCATGAGAATGGGGTGGTCTTCCCGAATCACCGCAAGGACTACCTGTATAGTCAGTATATGTTGTCCTGTGCCTGACCTGATTTTTTTCTTTTTTCCCCTCTGGCAGAGTGGAGGGATTGCTTAAACAAACTATCTCTTCCTGAGCTACTTTTCTCCCTATGCAGTGCAGCCCTTCCCTAAGAATGCTAACAGCAAGTTTACAAGCTCAGCTCTGTGACCTGAATTAGTTGATTAGAACTCTTGTAGCTGCTTCCTGAAATTGACAAGATCCTAATCAGTTTCACACTAAAGGCTTTTGTTTGCCTCCTAAGCCTGGCTCTCAAGCACAAGTGGGCTCCTTTCCATGTGTATTCCCCATTGTACAGTAATCCCTTCCTGTCCAATGAATGTAAATAACAAACATCAATTCTCTTCTTGCTAATTATCCCAGCACCAGGGTGAGCATTCCAAAGGACAGAGGAGAAGGGAAAAAGGGCTATAAGATTTCCCCTTTTATCTGGCTTCCTCATGAGTCAAATTCTGGAACCTTCCTGGCTTTTTGGGGTGGTATCCAACACTGTAAAGCAAAGGAAAGCTGAAGTAAAATCATAAGCACAGTTGCATTCATGTGTTTTTTCACTTAGTGACTGCTTCACTTAACAGCCTAATTGCCAGTCCCAATTGTAGTTGCTAAACGAGGACTACCTATAGTGTATACCTGGGTAACCTGAGAGTCTGAAACAAAGCTATAAACTTTAGAAGACCATAAGATTTCTGAAGGATTGCGTGAATGAGGTGAGTGATTTGGAGAAGGACTGGTGCAAGTGGCTTGGAGAACAGCGTGAACAGCCTTGGGAAGAAGTCTGGCGTGGCCAGCAGCTGCCTCGCATACAGTAGGGTCAAGCCAAATGATAGTGCCTGAAGAAAGAATGGGTAGGGCCTGATATGACTTGCAGATGTTTGCACTCCTGAAATACATTTTCAGCAAATGCAAACTTATCCTGCTGATTGAAAAAGTAATCAGGATTGGAACAGCAAATGTCCAGCTCATAATCGAGGATGAAGAGTTTTCAGATCAGCCAGTGGAGGTGCTGCAACAAAGGAAGCTACTCTCTGTAAGAAAGAGAATCAAAGAGGACAAAAAATAGTTTAGAATGATAACCAGAAAAAAACAAACACAAAAAACAGCTGTAGCCATGTCATCATAGTCTTGGAGGAAGGAAGTTGAAGAACTCTGAAGAGTCACCTAGTGTTCTCATTGTATTTCTGACCCATGAAAGAAAAATGGAA